TTTTTTCAACATTAAAACTACCTTTTCCGATGGATTTTTGAGAGGCATCAGTAGTTCTACATTATAAGGTAGCATCCTTATATAAACTTTTTCCTTAGTTAACGAGGAAACAAAGGAAGAAACAGAAATGTGTCTTCTAACAACATTATCAGGTTTTTCCAAGAGGGAATGGCTTATGTGGACACCATGCAAAAGATGGAAGGCTTGCAATTACACGTATAAGGTTTGAACTGCAAGGAAGGTACCTTTCACAGTGTTCGCAAATAAAACAAAGGGATCCACCTCATCAATAGGAGATTGAAACTCCTCATCATCACTGAAATCATCATCTGAATCATCATCATCATCATTCGGGTGAAAAGACTTTGCCTACATTCAGAAAAATAAAAGAAACACATCAAACTATCCAGTTACCAAACAACAGTGTACATAAAGTGAATTACAGTTGACAAACAAGACAGCACACAATAACTATACAAGACAGATAAAATGTAGAAGCAGTTACCAAACAATACAATATACAGCAAGTTAAAAGAACCTATCAAACAATAAAGTATGCATTGAGTAGAAAGATAACCAAAATCTACAAGGGGAAGGAATGAGGAGAGTACACAAACAAAACAAAAAAAAGATAATTTAGGAAACTTGATTGTGTGTGTGCATGCATGCATTGTGGGTATTTTTTCTTTTCAAATACGAATTAGTGATGTGATGCAGGACGAAAGTATTCTAATTTTTTAATTTTTACCAATTTCAAGAGATATAAGCTTATAAGGTTGGATGTCACATTTTGAGAGACTGTTATTTAGAATGACTTTATTTATGATAGAAAAAGTTCTCCTCTTAGTCCATGTTCTTTCTCCATTATTGTTGATTTTGCTTGTTTAAGGTTCAAGAAAAGGATGGATTTAATTTCCCAGCTTTCCTTCCAGCATCATGACGGGTCACAAGCAAAACTATGAGATAAAAACTCAACCGAAGGGCCTAAGATTGGCGGTACATGTGTGCTTGGTGGGCATTTTGTTTTTCATAAGCAAATCAGGGCCAGATAAGGTTTAGAACACAACCAAGATCTACCTAAATAGCAAAACACGCTTATCCAATATAATCAAAAACTCGGATAGCTTTGCATGTTTGAAGTGAAACTCACACTCCACATACTCAGTAATAGCTGGACCCTAGCATCTTTTGAGTAAATTTAAGTGATTAAAAGTAATACAAGAATGCATAATGCATAATGCATCACTGATAAAAAAACCCTTGTAATTTCATTGTCACCTTAAATTTTATCTATACATTTATCTTGATAATTTAAAAAACTATGTATCATAGAGGCATATTAAGTATGTATCATAGAGGCATCTTTTGTTTCTCTTCTTCTCTTTATCTTTTCTATTTAGGCTTCAGACGTTCTTGGCCATTAATAACAATATGGCCATTAATAAAAAAATTGGCAAAGCATAACCGAGAAAATACATGATTTCTTGTTTCACAAACCTGGGCTGCTAACTTCTGAAGCCTAAGACTATCAGCGTCATCGCCATCCTCATCATCAACTCCCATTTCCTTATCCGATCCATCATCTTCCCCATCATCATCATCTGTTTTGAAACCATCCATATCATCATCATCGGCTTCTTCCTCTTTTGCAGCTTCTGCTCAGTTTCCAACAAATGTTAACACGCAAGAATGTGTGGGAGAGAGATAAAGAGGGGGTTTAGGGGGTGGTTAGGAGGCCACCCTGTAAAAGGGAAAAGAAAAGCCACCTTTTGAACTACAATCCCAAGGTTATCTTAATGAGGACCTGAATGCAACAAGGAGACACTAACATTCATAATTAAGGCATAAATGATGAAAGGGACCCATTGACAAACCTGCTACTTGTTCCTTGTAAGCAACAAGCAGATCAAGTGTTGCTCGGAACACACGACCTACTGCATGCTCAGGCAAGTGCTCCACAGGTAATGCAAGAAGTGAAGTTAATCCCAAGCAGCAAACCTTTTTATCATGTTCCCTGAAATGACCAAAGAACTTGAATCCCATCCAAAATAGCATAGCAATACACGACAAATAAGCTACTCAAAATATTAAAAAAAAAAATACCTTCTAAAATACACACGTACACCACTCTTTTTAACTTGTTGAAGCATCTGAAACCAGAGTTCGAAGATTTCCGTAGCAACCCCAAGTTTTTGCAATGCACTGAATGTCAACATGGCATTATAGTATAGCGCATTGGCAATCTGCAAAGTCAACTTTCCTTGTTATTCACTCATACACAAACGAAACAAGAAAATTATGATACCTGTCCATGGTCATAATAGAACAAAATAAAACGAGAGAAACATGCTGCTTACGCTACTAACAAATTTTCTAGCATGTAACATTTCTTTTTTAAGTTATTTATATTTAATAAGTACATAACTACATACATGTATACTTATTTTTCCAATTTATCACCAAACGACCCAAGTATGATTCCTGGGAGTCCCAGGCAAAAACAACTGGTTCCTCATAGCTTTCAGCTACCCTGATAGTGAACTAAGGAAATATTCCTTAATGAGTAATAGGAAGTTCAAGATTTTGGTATCAAGAAAAGTTATTGGAACAATGGCATTCCATCAGTGATGGTGGGATGTGACATCTCAAACCAGGTGTCAACTAGCAAGGTCATATCACCTTGTTAATCATCATCATCATTATCCAAGCCTTATCCCAATTATCCTGGGTCAGCTATATGCATCTTGCTCCTCCATCCTTCTCTATAGAAGGCCATACCCTCAGTACAACCAAAAGTCACGATATCTTTCCTCACGACTTCTATCCATGTTCTTTTGGGTCTTCCCCATGCCCTTTTTGGGCACCCATGCTGTTAGGCTAGAGGACAGCAATTTGCTCAATCCTTTTATACGATTGGAGACTACCAAGTAAGTCAACCCCCTCCAATGTCACCATGAGGTAAGAAGGTCACCTTCTTTGTTCATTGCATATCTTTTGCTTCCTCACTCTCTCTAGCTCCTTATAACTACATCTCCTCTCCACATCTATAATTCTCTCCTTCTACCATACCTCTCTTTCTACCTCCTCAACCCAGTTTGCCTCCTACTCTACCTCCCTCTATTTCACCTACTCTTCTTTGCTCTTTTAATCATTGTACCACGTCCCCACTACCTGTACAGATAGCATGTGCTCATGTTTATATGTAAAAGCGCAGCTCAGAAAGGTGGTTATTCTCGTTTGAGGCCAGGGATGACTGACAAGGTGGACTACTTGTAGATAGCCTCATAGTGGTGGACTGCCTGGGTGGACCGCTTGCAGATAGACTCATAGAGCTGGACTGCCACGGTCGACGGCCCCCGAAACTTTGTAGTACATTACCCAGCCTCCTCCATCCCTCCCTTTCTATCTCTCCTGCCTCTAGCTCTCCCTTCCAAGCCCCCCTCCTCCCCCCTCCCTTTTCTTTCCCCTTTTACTACTTTCTTCTCCTCTTCTTCGCAATCTGCCAGCTAGAGAAGTTTTGGACTCGACTCCTTTTCGTTCATATTATTAGGCCAAAGAGGTTTCTTGGTTTTGTTTCTTTACTTCTGGTTTCATTTTTATAGATCCAAATGGGTGTTTCTTGTTTGTAGGCCCCTGTTTTCATTCATAATATTAGGCCAAAGGGGTTTCTTTATTCTATGCCCAGCCCAAGTTTTTCCACTAGGGCATACTTTTTTATAGAGCTCCCGGTTTGTGGCAAGCCATTTTTGTCATGAAATTATCATATTCTAAGTCATCATCATCATCACCCAAGTATCATCCCAACTATTTGCGGTTGACTACACAAATCTTGTTCCTTCATTCTGCTCTATCAAGGGTCATACCCTCAGTCAGACCATAAGTCACCGTATCTCTTCTTACTACTTCCATCTATATCCTTTTTGGGCCGTCCCCTTGGCCTGTTGGAGCCTTCCACTTGAACCAAATCGCCCGTCATAAATAATGTTGTATTAAATCTACCCTTCATATGGCCAGCCCAACCTAGGTCTACTTTCCCTCATCTTATCACCTATTGGAACCAACCCTAAATTCCCTCGAAAGTATTAATTTCGAATTCTATTATTTCTCGTCTTCTCAACATCCTCATCTCCACTACCCTCATCCTATGCATATATTGTTTCTTGACCACACATCATTCTGTCCCATAAAGCATGTCGTCCTATAGAAATTTCCATTTAGATTCATTGATATGTGGTAATCACATAAAACTACAAATGCACATCTCCACTTCGCCCTGTAATTATCATACTCTAAGAAATGCAATCAAATATGCATCAAAAAAAGAAAAAAGTAAAGCAGTAACTACAAGATAATCTACCAAAACAAATGAGTAACAAAGGTCTGAGGATGTCAATGATGCTCCGAAATGATCTGACCTACACCGATCAGGTAGTGGTTTGCCAATGCATATGAAATTAGTGATTTCTCAAGCTGTATTTCTCAATTATTACTAGAAAGTTCACGATTTTGGTACAGCATAAATTATTGGAAAATTGGGAATACATCAGTGACAGTGAGATGTGACATTTCAAAGTAGGTACCAACTAGCAAGGTCCTATCACCTTGCTAACCAAAAAGGAAAAATCAACTAGCAAGGTCCTTGAAGGGTTTAGTAAAGACGAGGGCTCACATCTTTTTTCAGACCTCCTAAGAGAAACAAAACGATGTGGTAAAAACCTCATTGGGTCTGCTCACACAACAAGATGGTAATAGAGGAAATGGTCTATACAGGGAATGGTGGGCTTCTAGTGGTTCCAACAGCAGCAAGGAGCTCACAATTTCTAAGTCCTTGTGTGCGGCAAGGAGCTGAAGTAATGTAACAATTAATGCAGAGGGATATGCTACCTCATGGTAAGTAGCAAAACCATATGCAGAGGGGTTTGCTTGAAAAAGAGAGATTAAGGGGGACACAATCAGGCGGCAGAACTTGTGAATCAGTGAGAATATGTAGGAAGCACAAAACTTGCGAAGTAACAACTTTAATTGCAGAATAGTCTGTCAGTATAGTTGCCCACTCTCCCCAACAATTCTTTGTTTATCCTTTTTAACCCATTGAAGAAATATGGCATCCATCAACAAGGAAACCAACTAAAAACCATGTAAAATAAGAGAATATGTGAGCAGGAAAGCTTTATAAGTATCCTAGTGGAGTTCATCTGTATAACAAGTAAAGCTGTAACAAAACAAAATTTACCCAGACAATTGAGTGACCAAGGTCTGAGAATGTCAGTGATCCTCTGAAACGATCTCCCCTACACAGCTCAGGTGGTGGATAGCCAATGCACATGAGCCCAATGGTTTCTCACCAGATATGCAATTGAACTTATAATAACTCTAAACATATCAAATACAATTTCCTGTTTTACTGAAATGGATAGCACAATGTTGGATACCATCATTAATCCTAAGTAACATATACGCCAAACCAAAAATCAATAGAGAGGTCAAACAAAAAGAAAGGTCCATAAAATCTTAATGGGAACGTAAGAATGCACAATTATCACTCACAAATAACAAGAAATAAACTAACAAATTTTAGAAAAACCCTTACAACTTCCACAAGAAGAGACTTCAAGAATGCCTTCTCAGTTCGGTGTAGCCTATCAACTGTGACTCGAACATATGGCTCAACCCATTGATCCACCTGTCCTTTGCAATTTTGAAATACTGCTTCTATGAGCTTCGGAGCAGGCTCAATATCATGATCTTCCATGTTTTTATCGGCCATGACCTGAATAGAGTAAAGACAAGATGCTTCACATGATTTAAGTGGTACGTAGTCTCAAAGGTACAGCCTTAGCCTTCTAAGCACGCTAGATAAACAGAAAAACACTATGAAGGTAATTAACATCTGAACATATATTGTTCGTTACATACAGATGAAAGCATCTTCCAAAGGCTCTGTTGGTAATCAGGATCCTTGCAGGTGAGGAAATGTGCAGTACTCCTTGATATGTAATTGTCCAATGGAACCAGAATATCTGCACCAGAAGATTTCAAAGATCTAAATAAGAAAGGTTAAGAGAAAGAATATAAGCTACTCCCGCTGCACAGGAAGATTCCACAGACAGTAACTTAAGTCTCTCACCATCCAACAAAATTTCCTTCACAAATACAACAAATTTCCATTAATGAGGGATACATGGCAACAATTTCATGGATAAATAACACAAAATAAGTATTGAATTAAACAATATCATGCATTGGCAACTAATCTCTCACTTTGAAACCAAGATAACTCAAAAAGCAAAGGAAAGGAGAGGAAAGAACAATATGCATTAAACAAAGACGAAATGAACTTCATGGCAACAGATATACCAAATCCTAATAGAAAAAAAACTGAGAAGCATTTTCTGTTTTGGAGTAAAAGAAAATTTTCAACAAAATGAGAAATATGATCTTCAAATAGAAAAAAAAATGAGCAACATGACAAATAGAGCATGAAGCCCTACAGCAGGTCCAAACCCACCATCCTCATTTTACCTTCCCCTCAAAGACCAGACCATGAAATAGGTATCAATTTCAATAATTAGTTAGCCACACGAAAGAAAAAAGATATTTTGCACTGAAATGGAAAAACACCATATCTTCGGTCCCCATTTGCAAAAGGACCTCTATCCCTTGAAAAGAAAACCCAGACGTCAAACCAGCTCCTATAGATAGCCTACATATGCAGCCACTAAAGAAAGAAGAGTTAAAAAGATTTAGCTGATCATAAGCTGTGGATTTTAACAATCCAAGAGACCTGTATTTGAGCATATCATGTGGCCAAATAAGCTAAGTAATTTATAAACCCTGCCACTGCCACACTACTCCAATTCTCTATACAAAACGGAAATCATGAACTAGCATTCACTGTTCAAGAATACTTCCTCACAACATCCGTATTTGCAAGAATCCCTAATTTGTCACTGTTTTTTGCAACAAAGAAATGAATCTTCTAAGCTGCCTAGACTTAAAAACCAAATGGATGGCATCAGCCATAGACATTAGAAAGTTGTTTCAGACCATAGAAATTCCTTACAACTCTCAACCATTGGAAACATAATTCCATGAACGCACCTATTTTTTTACTCAATTAATATATATTGTCCAGTGACCAGTGTTTATAAGAATCACAAAATATAGAATGACCACAAAACTTTTACAATGCAACAAGGGTTCGGTACACTTGAATAAATTTCAGTTTGTATTTGAACATCAAGGTCCATAGACGCCTTCTCCATCCCATGTGTAACTTCTTACATAAAATTTCTACTAGCTAATTATAAAAATAAAAACATTCAAAAAGGTTGTGAGAAAGCAACATCGCTGACACTCTCATCAAGGAAGATGCAACAGGTGGTCACACAGGGACTAGCTAGTAGCTTCTGGGCGATAGTACCCAAGAGTGGGATTGATCTCCCAATGTTGTTTTTAACACTGGGAGTTTGCAGCCAACAGTATTTGTTACAATCAGAGGTTGCATAACCCTGATTTCATGCACCCAACCTGTTGGTTGCCATTTTTCAATAGTATAAAACTCCTATTTATGCAATACAAGTCAACATTTAAGGAAAAGAAAAAAAAAAAACAGAAATTTATGACAAAGCATACACAACTAAAGAAACAAAACAAGAAGCAAATATACACCAAACATGTTTGTAAAATCTGGTTTCCAGCTGAAGGTTATCAAAGTGGGATGCCAAGTCAATGCGCTGGGTGGGATCTATGAGGCACGATGCAGTCCCTCTGCAAGCTCATCGCTTCCAATGAGGTCAATAAATTTAAAAAGTTAAGAAAATTAACAAAATATGGGAATACAAACAAATAACATGAATATGAGATTTAAGTGATAATAGGTATTTTATTTGAATATTTGTCTTTGATATATTTGTTGTCTAAGTCCCTTTTCTTTTCAAATTGAAGACTATTTTTTTTTGAAGAAAAAGAGGACAATAAATTACTTTATAGAAATGTTACAGAAGCATCCCATGACAGGTGAGATAAGACAGTCCACAGGATAGGTGCTCTAAATAACTGTACAAAATGTATATAATGAAAAATCATAAAGACAAAAAAGGCCCTTTTTGGGCAAAAGTGTATCGTCAGAACACAGATCACCAGCCAATGTCCAAAAACACGGAGAGAAATAACTTGGGGTTTGGGTGGGGTCTTTTTTTTAATTTGGGGGGAGCATCTTCTTTTGTGTGTGCGTCTTGTGCGTGTATACGGGTCCATGTGTGTGTGACAGAGAGGTCTCACATCGACCACTTGGAGAACATGTTCTTCTTTGTCTTCTTTCTATATGTAGAGAGAGAATATGAGTGTGAGGTGGGGGGCCTCACATCAAACACTTGGGAGGTCACCTTCTTCTTATATGTAGAGCTAGAGCATATGGGTCTATGTGTGTGACTATGTCACAGAGAAGCCTGGCGTTCAACAATTGGAGGCATCTTCTTTTTCCTCTTCGTCAGTTCTTCTTATACATAGAGAGAGAGCACATCGGGCTGTGAACAAGAGAGAAGGGCCTTGAGCTCTTAGCCATTTTAATAGGCCTCAACTACATTTTTATTTTTCTAAGAGCGTTTATGCTGTTTTTTGGGTGGCACTTGGCAAATAGCAGTCTGGGGGGGCTACATTTGCCCCCCTAAAACCCTTCTCACCCCTTTTCAAGGGAAAATTACCTGCCATTTTTTTTTGCCCTCGAACGAGGGACCTTTGCCGCCCGCGGCCAAGTTGCTCCAAGGCAACTGCCTAGGCAGGCGCCTAGGAGCAAGTATGCCCAGGGCACCCCGCCTAGGAGGCACCTAGGCGTTTTGGCCTCATGGCCACCTAGGCAGTTGAGATACCAAATTTTTAGAACAATATCATGAGCATATAGTTGTGAAAGCGTACAAAGAGAACATACAGCTGAGAAAATGGAGATAAGTTAGACAAAAGGAAAGATCATTGAGAGGAGAGTGGGGAAAGAATAGTTTGAAATAGAAAGGAGGTAGAGAGGAAAGAAAAAACATAGAGAGAAGAGTAGGTAGAATTGGGAGAGAAAGGAATGGTAGATTGGAGTAAAAGTGGGAAATGGAGATAAAACAGACAAAAAGAACAGAGAAAAAGTAGCAGGGCCAGGGATAAAAGAGGAAGAAATGAAGAGTAGGTGAGGGACTAAGGCTGAGAGAGGAAGAAGCAAAATCAGAAAGCCAGAGCTATACGAAGGAGTCATGCAACGCAAGATTTGCCCCCTCTCTAGCATCAGCCGTGGCATTCACCTCCGGCCAAGTATGATGGAAGTTGAATTGAAGAGGCCTTCTCAAGTATTCAAAAGTGAGAATGTTGACATAATTGGTATCAAGTATGTGGCAGATAGAGGTTTGATGTCCTTGAAATTTCTAGCCCAAGAGATAGTGAGATCTCTTGCATATTCAGCTGTGGCATTTGCTGCCTCTTAGTAGCCCAAAAAATTTTGGAGTCTCTTTCCCGCCAAATGGCCCATGACATGGTGAGGGTCAAAGCTCTCCACAACAGCAGTCATATCGCACGCGTAGGGGGATGAGTAAAGGCCGTAAACAACTGTTCAATGGAATCGAGAGTGACAGAGCCAATTGAAAACTTGGAGAAGCTTAACCCAAATTGAGGTAGAAAACCGCAACGTAGGAAGAGGTCGTTATCGGTTTCTTAGGCATCTTGGCATAAAGAGCAATGATAATCAAGGCTGAAACCTCATCTCAACAATTGATCAATTGTTAAGTTTTGCTGAGAAATGACTAACCACATGAAGGCTTGAATTTTTGGTCAGGTGGGGGTCAACCAAGCCTTACTGTGGAAGGTATGGTTGGCGGAAACTAAGCAAATGGCTTTGTACAATGGAACAAACGGAAAAGATGCCATGTGAGCTCTGGATCATCATTGGAAATGAAGAACTTGTGAAGGGTGCAATGCAAGTTCAAAAAATTATGAACCCCATCATTATGCAAAGCTCTTCTAAGAATTGGGTCATTCGAGAACATTAGGTAACTGCAGCATTGGGGCAGGAAGCTATGTTAAAGGGCCTGAGTTATTGTTCCTTCAGAGGTTAAAGATCAAGCAAAGTGCCCTGTGGCCTACCAGAAAAGGACCCTATCTTCTCAAGTAATTTTGAATATGACGAGAGACATGAAGAGATGACAGCAGGCATAGAAATTTTTGTAGCAACCACACACATTTGGCACCCAAAGGCCTTTTATTCAGAAACCAACCAAGGATGTCAGTCCCATATTTAGAAAGGAAGACCTCTCGCCGAAGATGTTGGTGGTTTGCAAGACACCACCACCATTTGCCAAGAAGAGTAAGATACATCAGTCATGAGTATGCGGATACCCAGTCCACCAAGGTTATTAGGTGTACAGACCCTTTCACAATGGGTTAGATGAATCTTTCTATGAGAATCTTCCCAGCCTTTCTAAGGTTTTAATGATAGAAGCAGGCAAGAGGAACAAAGACATAAAATAGAAGGGAATATTGGACAGGATGGCTTGATCAAGGTGATTCTCCCCCTGAGAGAGAAATTGACCTTTCCAGTTGGTATGGGACTTTTGGCAATTTTTCTATAATTGGGTAACAGAGGGCCTTGCAAACTGTGTTCCAAAAAATGCTGGGCGGCAGTAAGGCACTTTTGGCAATTTTTCTATGATTGGATCCTAGAGGGCCTTGCAAGCAGAGTTCCAAAAAACACCGGGCAGCACCAAGGCGGCCAGAGGGGATTTTGTCTAGGCCACCCAGAATCTGGGCGGCCCAGGTTCAAAAGGGGGAAAGAGGCATCCAGTAATCCTATTTTAGCTCCAATTTTGTATAAAAATGTATATAAATGCATTTTTTATAATCCAAACAAAAAAAAACCGCCAAAAATACCCACCCGATGGATATTTTTGCACCAAGGTGGGTGCAATGCCCCGGGAGCCCATCTAGGTGGGATACTAGGCTAGCACCAAGGGACCGCCCGCCTAGTTGGTCGGCCCTGGCCTGGGCGATGCACCCAGGCCCCGCTACTGCCGAAAACTTGAACGGAATCGAGGTTAAACCCGCCTAGATGCTAGGCAGACCGCTTTTCGAATCAATGCTTGTGAGGTATTCCTAGACATAGAGGAAGGCCCAAATACTTGGCAAGAATACTATCTAACCACAGACTGATCTAAATGGAAAAAGTCTTGTCTGAGTTGTTGATAACTTGGTGAAGAGTAACAGACAATTGTCTCTATTCTCCAATGCCATTAAAATTTAAAATAAATTAATTTACCCATGCATTAAATTAAAACAATGTTGTACCAAGGGACCAACCAAGCATAAAAAACAAAAAAGAACAAAATAAAATAGGTGTAAAAAAGTAAACTGCAGCATATAGCCAAATTGCAAAATGCCAATTACCAAATGCTAAAGAGACTAATTGTCTAAAAGAACTTCACATGTACATAACATCCAACGACCAAGAGCTCATAACAAAAATCAAAAGAAAGTACGATTGCTAGGTTTTAATCTCCTCTCGCTTAGAAACCGTGGATGGCAAATCTTTGCCTGAAATCCTTCCAAACATTGCACAAATCAACTCGAACTTCCTCCCAAAGAATTCCAAATCCTACCAAAATCTTCCAACTCAAAAAATTATATCTATCCTTGATTTCTTCAATTTAATCCCCTGAGAACCATGAAAAATGGTTCTACAGGGTTTTGAGGTGTATATAACCCCATCTCCTGACGAAAAATCAATACACACCCAACACAAGGGATGACACTTTAAATAGACCAAGTCTTGAATCTTGACACTTGTTAGATAACGAGGCTTATCAATCACCGAGAACATCCATCCAGAACTAGGACACATGTCACCAAATTACACAAACATGCATCCATAAATTAAACACTTCAATATAACTTTGTTATGCATATCCAATACTCTGACATGCATGTTCCAAACATGCAGATCTAACCGTTTAAGGGTCTGTATACTATGTTATCGTTCGGGTTTCCTACACCTTCCCAACAGATGTCAACAATTGACAGTTGAGGTGTCGCATTCCTCTGCTCAAAATAAGTCAATTTCTTGACAAAACTTGAGAGGAGGATTAAAAAGCCCCTTACTGTCCTTTTTGATATCTAAGGGTTGAGAGAGTGTCAAGGAACCATAGGAAACCAAAATGATGGCACTGAGTACTTTCTCAAACTTTATTTGTTATCATTTAATATATCAATTCCATAGACAGTGTCCATCAAGGTTCAAAAACTTGGCTGAGTCCATTCAGATTTGGCAACCCACCAATGGGAGTTTCTGAGCCTAACTCATCTTATATATATGGAAAATTGTTTCATGCAGGCTGGACCGCATGACTATACATGCGGTCCAAAAAGTGTAAAGCATCCATCTTAAAGATGGATGCAAGTAGGTGTTCCATCAAAACAATGGAAACTAACGGTCCAAATGTTTTCTTACTAAAAAATTATTATTTCTAGTTTTTAAAATTTATTATTTATTCACATACATGATCTCCATCTTAGAGATTACATGTCCTTAAAAATTAAGCCAAACAATCCATCTCAAAAATAGATTTATTAAGAGGCCCGCATTTCGCAACATGCGGGCTTGACTGCATAGAAACCAGGTCCTATTTGTATTAGCATCATCTTCATCATCATCTGAGCCTTATCCCACCTTTTTTTAAAAATATTAACTTAGCCTTATCCTACCTTATTTATATTTTGTAAAAACGTTTGAACATTTGTTAAATAAACACTAATAAATGACTTAGAAAAATGGTTATATATGATTGTTATGTTTTTTTGTGATTTGTGAACTTTTTCTTATTATATGCTCGAATTTTTTATTTTTTCCCTTTTGATTTTTCTGAAATATTTTGGGCAACAAATCAATGTTTTCAATAATATATTGACTGGCAGTGAATAAGTTTTAGCACGTATTTTAGTTTTTGCTATTTTTAATTATGCAGAATAATATTTTACATGTTTTTGGATTTTGAGCCTATGTTGGGCTTGCGCAAGACTCGGCGGAGCCCACTTGGAATTGGCTGACTAACTTGGCTTGGGCCAGGCCCGGGCCCGAGTCCCAAGCTAAGTTACAGAACATCAATGTTTGTACACAAATAAAGTATTAAGCAGATATGTGTCAAACATGCCTTTTTTAAGAAGCTGTTAATATGTGTCCCTATTATAGAGCCTTTTGCCTCTATTCAACATACCATGACTGAAGCAAACTTTGGTTGGCTATTCCAGTTCAGATGGTAAATATGATGGTTCTAACAACGAACCTGCATGTATATCTCACAGGCAGATTTAAGAAACCTCAAGAATGAACTTGACTTATGGGTGTAGTTCTGGCTGTATCTATCAGGCACAAGCATGCAGTCTTTTTTATGTCCTTGTAACATGGCATCTAACATTTCATTTAGAATGGGGATGTGCTCAGCCAACTCCAAATATGATAACAGCACAGAAACTAAAGAATATCTGTAACATATATAAAAGGAAGACGGCTAAAAATTTGATGCAGGCACATGATTTTTGTGAATTTCTTTCAAGGGAAATTTTAAGAAAGACAAACAGGAAAATCAAAATAGACATGGCCCATCCAACCCATGGAAAGTTCCCAAGCCCTTCTACACATTTCCTTGTCCCTTTGCTAGATTGCTACTCTAGCACTGAACATTAAGCACTAAAAACAGTGAACCATGACAATCTTTTTACCAATTTCTCATTGTTAAATATTTTCCATGCAATAACATAAGATTCTGCTTATTTAGAAAATGCCTATAGCACAATAACCCAGGATAAAAGTACATTAATCATGAAGGCAACTGCTTTTTCAATCAAAATCACAGTACTCACTGCTAAAACAAACTTGTTACAATATAAATAATAGAACGCAGGTTCTGAATGAAATGCATGTCGACTTACTCTCAAAAAAGTCTACAGCCCAATCATCCAGAGCTTCCATCATAAGAGGCCAAAGACTCCACATATCCAATGAAATTGTGGGTGAAAAAAATGTCATATATGACACAATCTCCAAGACTTCCTCAAAAACCTCTGAAGAAGAAAATGCAAAGGCTATAAAATCAAATGCAACAACTTGTAGTCCCCAAAATAAGAATCAAGAGGAAGAAATCCCATGAAATTAATGGAAATAGAAATAATGGAAACTATTCGAAAAAGATTAATGCATACACAAACTCCATAAGCAGCTCAGTGTGTCATGTAAACTATAGATGACATTAGGCTAAGAAACAACAAAGGAAAGTGGCAAGCAATCTACATCATTCACATACTCATAAGCAAGAGTTTCTTAGCAGAAGACCTTATAGATAATATGTATCGAAGATAACACTATATATAATTTATATAATACACTATAAATTTCATAAGTCTGTGGCATGCAACTACAGAAAATCCAAGGCCAAAGAAATGATAAAGACAAACAAAAAGTAACCCCAGTCACTCCCATACTCATAGGCAAGTGGTCTCTAGATGATGACACTAGTTATAAACCCTCAGGACTTTCTCAATTCATTTGTTTTCTGCGCCATTTAATTTAGGTAGAGCCACAGCACTCAATGAAGAATTCAAAGTGCCAGTGCATCAGTTTCACAGGGTTGGTCGTAAAAGTAAGATGGCAAAGTTGATACATTATGGGTTTCTGAGTGGCAAAGTTGCAAGGCATAAACTTGTTCGATTCCAGTCATAGTAATAATAATGAAGCAAAATTTACGAAAAATATAAAAAGTAAAAGGCACAAACAAAAAACAGTAAAAGAAAAAGTCAATAAGTCATTACAACCAATAAGGAAAAGAATAGCCAAAACAGAAAAATGAAAGCAAATAGCCATAACAGAAAAATGGAATCAATTTTACTGCATAACTACAAATACATATACATGCATTAACATGCAAGAAAGAAAGTATGAATTTGGAAATTATGTTCACCCAGCTTCCATGCAACCAACTATATATAACAGAAGTATCATACAGAACCTGCTTATGTGAGTAGAGTGCATCTCTACCACGCAATAGACCCGTATGTGAAAGTGAGGGGTCAATCAGGGAAGTTGTACATGTGGCACATCAATTACCAAGTGCCTTCCAAGAGACGGTTTTTAATTTTTGAGAGACATTCACTATAATTGTATTATGTAATAATAGAAATTACAAAAGATGGTGACCGAAATGGTCACGCTATACAAGCCCAAAAGGGACCAAAAAAGGACAAAGCCCACTGCTAGAAAGGAAAGAGAAAGTAGACAAAAGGCGAAAAGCCTAAGAGGAGGAACTGAGGAGAGCCCCTTCTTTGGCCAACTGTCGGCATCTGAATTTGCTTCTCTAAACACATTGGCGCCAGGATATCCTTAGTTGCTCAATAAATGCATAACCTCGTCAAAAATGTTGTCGAGGCGCCAAGGCCATGATGAGTGGTTGGACGCCCAGTGAATGATGTATTTGGCATCCCCTTCCACCATGATACTGTTACTCTAGGTGTGATCAAATTTGCGAAGGCCCTCCAAACGAGCAAGAGCCTCAGCAAGGTGCTGCCATCACTAGAGCGATAGAGCCCCCCAATTCCTGAAGGACCAGGTTGCCCAGAGAGCAACCATTGAAGTTAACTTTCACCGCTTCGGGGGTCTCCACCACGAGGCCCTATAGGTTCTGAGGTTAGATAAAAAGTAATCGGTTGGACCAATTAATTTTTAAGTTGGTGGAGGGAGAAAACTTAAAAAGAGTGTGAATGGAGGCCCAAAAAGCTACTAGGTTCCTGATTTTCTCTGCCAATTATTCGACCGATGAACTCACACCCCGAAAGATTCTATGATTTCTATAGGTCCATAGCACTCAAATGGTAGCTGAGAGCGCAGCTTTCCAAAGAAGCCTGCAAGCCTTGGGCCAAGGACAAGAGAGGAACGCTGGGAACAAATGAGGGATGTTGGAGGGGGTTAATTATACCCAGTTGAGTAAGCTCAGGGTGGACGTCCAAACTGCTCGAGAGAAAACACAGTGCAGAAGAAGATGTGAGTTGGACTCCTGCTCCATCAAACAAACGTTGCATCTGTTTGGGAGTTGCACCCCTCTTCTTTGAAGGTGATCCATGCTCAACAATCTTTCATGCAACGCTATCCAGCGGAACACCTGAATTCTTGGAAGAATAAAAGGGTTCCAGGACTTGGGTCCGAGGGGTTGTGAGGGGCCGTGATGGTGCTGAATAGGGAAGCCACCGAGATATACCCGATGCCGAGGGGGTCCAAATAATCATGTCCTTCCTCGAGGAAGGAATGAAGACCGAGTGTAAGCTTGTCTTGAAGTTCGTGATGGAAGATGGGTCTCCTGAACAGAGGTCTCCAACTTCTGAGGGCTCCAGTGAAACTGAAGTTTTCAGCCACTAAAGACTGACCATCCTGGGCTAGATTGAACAGGTTGGGAAACTGATCTCTAAGGGCGATGTGGCCGATCCTGGTGTCAGTCTATAAAATATCTAAGACTAATTTCTAATCAATTGAAAAAAGAAATAAGAGAAACTTTTAGGACATTTACCAGTATCCTAGTTATGACAATTACCCACAAAAGTAGGAAGGAAGATTTGCGTAGTAGCTGGAGTTAAGCTAAGCCTCCCATGCAGGGCGTGGAGAAGACATCCCTCGGAGGTAATGATATTCTGGTGGCGCAGGCGCCAAAGTTTCTTAATTATGAAGTTGTAAAAAGGTCTGAACATTGGAACAGTGTCTTAACTAAAGGCCCTCATTGGCATGACTTTTAGATTGCAAGAGGATAGGTAGTTCATTTTAGGCAGTTTGAAAGAGGTTGAATGTTCATGGAGAAAGATATAAGAACACTCCATTTAATGGATCAGAGCTCATGTCAGCTTGTCTATCAAAAGGAAGCAGAGATATTGTCAAACAGTGGTTAAAACCCATAAAAAGTGTGGAATGGGATTCTTCAAGGTCATAATTACAATATCAATGCTCATTTTAAGAAAAATGGTCACAGTTATCATATGGTCAATGGTGTGAGAACTTCCCAGGCAATCTAACAGGCTAGATGATGGTGGCCTAGAAGTGCCCTAACTGAGGTAAGGTGGGTTACAAGGTAATATTTGGATCTCAGGCCCCTGTGATGGGGTGAGTTGGTGCCAGAGCCTTGTGTCAGACACCTGGGGAGTTTGTTCAATGCTCCCCATATAGTCCAGCAGGACTGGAGAAGCTTTTAATGGAATGGTATTTAGCACCTAAGATCCATGGCTTTCAATACTTTCACTTTGTTAACATTAGACAAACCAGCAGGCCAGGGGCATGGCATTTCTGGACTCTCATCTGATACCGGCCATGCCTGAGCTTCACTGAGATTTAGTTTAATTGCACCTGTTGGCAAAAATTTCCATTTGCTCCTGCAGCCCTCCTTTTTGCTTGAATTTCAGACAATTGCATTCCACTGATGGTAGAACTCCCTAAAGTATAACACAGGTTCTCTTCTAGCTAGGGCCCATTGTATGTGGAGTGATTTGATTCTTTCCTGATGGAAGAAATGTTTATTTTGGCAAAACACTGTTGTGTTATTTTTTTAATTGAACACTGTGTTATGTTCAAGCCAGATGGTCCACAAAACCTCAAGAAGAGTAAATCTTCATATCAATAGACGACTTTGGTAAAGATGGAAAAAAACCATTGTTGACGATGGCTTTCTACTTCCATTAAAACTTAGTTTACTTGTGCTTATTAGCAGAGGGTCCCATTTGCTGCTACGACCATCTTTCTTGCCTGAATTCCACAAAATTGTACGCCACTGAAAGTGGAGGACCCTGAAAGCATGACCCCAATATTCTTTACTCGCAAGTATCCATTGTATGACTATTGTGCCTTTGATTCTTGGTCTAATGGTAGAAATATTTGATGTTATTCAGCCAAAACACCACCTGTTACGTGCTAGCCAGAAGTCGGTGACAAAGTGGGACTCCATAGCAATAGACCATGAATAATAAAGCCATAAAGGCTTTCAACTAGAAACCATTGTTGATAATATGGTCCACAATGTCAACCTAGAAAACACAAGAGACCATGAGGAACTATTTTGCAGGTTCCCCACTGTGGATGGGTGAACGACCAAGTACCACTGTTAGGTTTTACCATCATGGCGAATACAAATTACATCTATGATTTCATGTGGTAGTCATCCATATTTCCTTTTCCTCTACCATTGTGGAGGGATCTTCATCCATGCCCTAACTAGTGTAGTCAATAAGGCTTGACCAGGCTTTCTCACTTAGATGCATGTGCAAGTCCACGAACAAGAAACACCTTTGCTTTTCTATAACAATATATTTTTGTGTATGATTATTCCAGCAGCTCTAATAGTTTTAAACCTGAGATGCCATACATACCGAAGTGGATTGAAGGAGAAAAGAAAATATAATAGAATGAAGAGGTAAGACAAGCCTTTCTTGCAATAACCTTTTAGGAAGTTGCAATAAATTCTTAAGAAGTTGAACTTATAAAGAATATAATTTTCTTCATTTTTTTTAAAGCCTCCTGAGGCTCCCTTACACAATCTTGTAGATTCCTATACAAGCAATGGAACCACAGTTTCTATTCTCATAGTAGCAATGAAACACAAGTTAACTACCAAATGAAAGTTTATGCTCCTAGTAGCAATTGACAAACATAAAGTTATAATATAGTTTTAGATATCGCCACACAGTGAAACAAAACACCACACACCAAAGTAATTACATGCATATTATTCATGAAAATATGTATGGAAAACTTTCAAATGTAGCAAAAGAAACAACTGCTAGACAGAGGAATAAATCCTCACAGCCTCTGAACTTACCCTGCCCATCAGTTGTCAACATCCTCTGCATTATAGGCAATAGAATAGGCTCAACCTGGGGGAAGAGGTGGGGAAGTCTGCTCACAGATTCAAGTATTGTGCTTATGGCACGCAAACAACCAACAGCAGCAAGAGCACCAGACTCGTCTCCATCTTCATCGGCTTCAGCTGATTGCATACACTTCCAAAATGCAGCAGACTGGTTGCAAATAAATAAATGATAGCTATCAAGCAGAAGGCACTACATAGCCAATAGCAAGTAGTTCACAGAAAACAAGATGCACATACCAGATTCTGGCATAAACCAAGAGCATAAGGTGCCATCTCTTCCCCAAACTTGTCTACAATAGTCTCAAGTGTGAAGACAAGGTCCTCATTCTCAACCTCATTCATAAGTTTGAAAAACTCTGCAAAACATAAAGGACCAGTGAGCAACAAGAAAATAAAAAACAAAACTTCAAAGAATAGCTCCTATGGAGAAAGTAAGGAAAAGTATCAACATACCATCAAGTAACTGGGGCAGAATTGGACGAATCTCATTGAGGTCTGCAAGACGGTAAATAGGTCCCTCAGTATGTCTAGCTCATGGAAGGGACAATAAAGATATAAACACTATGACGCCTTGACAAAACATCCATACCTTTACAAGCTTCAACAAAAGAACGCAAAGCGAATACTGAATCGACCCGCACTGGAAGCTCTGGGTCACGCAATCCAGAAACCACACTATGCAAAGCTCTTGTGAAATTGCCTTGGTCTGAAAAGTTGATGTTAGCATACTGACCAGCAACCCATGCTGCCTGTAATTACACAAAGAAATGCAGTCAAATGAACATAAATTTGATCAGAAATCTTAAGCACTAAGCTTTTTTAGCGTACTTAATATTTATTTGGTAACTGATTATGCAAAGTTATTTACAATTTTATGTGGTTTTTTTTACATAAAGACATTACACACATCATTCCTAATTACTCCTTTAAAACAGTGACTTGGGTCACAACTCAAGACTCACTAGGGTCCCGAGCCCAAGTCAGACAGTCAAGTCGACTGACTCTCATTGAGATTCAGACAAGTCCTATTCAGAAAAAAAAACGAAAAAAAAAAAACACTAATTGGCTAAAAATTGTAAGATTCCAGCGAAAATGGTGGAATGGTCATTGGACTTGCCAGGGTCCCCAGCCGAGTTTACTCAAGAGAGTCCTGAGTCACACTCACATCCTAAATAAAAAAAAGATTGACTATAAGCCCTAGCTTTGCAAACCCTACACATACTAAGACATGCCTCCATATTAGGTTCACTCCAAGATTGGACAAAAGATACATCTAGGCTTTTTGGAAACTGTCCTGATTTCTTCCACTACTATATTCAGACACCATGAGTGCACTGCCTAACCATCACCTTCAATAACTCATTCGTTCACTTCTATGCGACTCTTTGAAGTTGATAAAGGACGGACCATGTCTTCGCCTCATTTGCAACACTAATATGAATTGGCCCCAGTGTTTTAAAATGCGGGATGCGGCCCTGAAGCGGTGGGGGGCCGATGCGGCGATGTGGCTCAATGCGGCCCAGATGCGAGTGCATCGCGATGATGCGGTCAATAAATGTAAACAAATTCTAAAAAAATTTAAAAAATAAGTTAATGCATAGAAAACAATATGAAGGTGATATATGTGATAGTAGGTATTTTAGTTTAATGATTAACTTCAAAACTATTAGTTGTTGGATATTTTGTATCCAGTTATCCACCCATATAAGTATTTCCACACAGCAAGCACATCACACAATTTCTATCTTTGGGATTTTTAAGTTTAGCATATTTCCAAGCCGGATCCTTATTACTAGAAGATTGGGAAGAAGACATTGCCCCAAAAATATGTATAATAGTAATATTGTACAAGAAGGAAAAAAATTTACAGACTCTGTGAAGTACTGCTCGATTTCTTTACGATCTCTGAAACCCCCGATTTTTTATCACAAATTCACCCTAACCAAATCAACAATCAAAGGCATCCAATAAACATTCAAGTATCAAACAACCGCCAAATCGAAGATTTCGATGAAAAAAAAATTCAGCCTAAATTTTTTGTTACCTCGATTTGATGCAAAAAAAGCCACAAAAGTGTTCATTTAGGGCCCTTAATACCCCCCAAACAGTGTCCCTAACATTTGGATGGTCAAAAAGACCCTTTTGCCCCTCCCCGAGGGGCAAAACATAAAAAAATTCGACGGACACTGTAGCAGTGGGATGCGGTGTGATGCGGCCTATGCGGGATGCGGCTACGATGCGGCCTAATGTGGCGCATATGCGCCAGTTTCTGATGCGGATGCGAGTGCATCCCGCATGATGCGGCCGCATATGCGGCGATGCGGTCGCATTTTAAAACACTGATTGGCCCTAAATGAGTTAAATTTTATGCCAATGGTCCCTCAGAAGTCTCGATACTCCTGCTGGATAAGGATTGCCTGCGGAGCTTCTAGGGATTGCGCCGGCCCAAGGCAAAAATGCCTGAGGGGCATTTTTTGTCTTTTTACCCCTAAATAAAGGGGGAAAGGGGGGGGCTTGGGTTATTGAACCCTTTATTTACCTTTAGAGTGAAATGCTTTTTGAAAACGATCACTATTTTGCATTTCTAGGAGATTAATCACATGCTTCAAAGTTTTCAAAAATCAATCCAAAACATCGCCTTTTTTATTTGGATTTGATTTTGATGATTTTTTAAGCTTATTAGAGGGTTTTTGGGAAGTATTTGAGATTGAGAAACATCTCAAACATTGAAGATTGAAGATCGACCAAAAAGGTCAATTAAAAATCTTCTTATTTGAGATTTTATTTCTTATTTCAATGTCTTCTTCGGGTTCTTTTATAAGTGGTAATCCAAGTTGGAAGTATAGTTATAACCCAATTCCAAATGACAAAAATCATATATATATCAAATTATAGTGAAAGAGATACTAATGGGCTACAAATCGGTTCGAAAAACACCTTGCTAGTATTAAGGGGAATGTTGTCCCTTGTAAAAATGTTTCTGAAACTATCAAAGAGGATATTAAGCAATATATGAGTGAAATAAAACACAAAAAGGAACAAAAGCCTTGCCTTGTCATTTGGATAAGTCCATTTCTGGTTCTTTGAGAAGTGGTGATCCAGGTCAAAGGTATGGTTTAACCCGAATTCAAATAATATAAATTACATAAAGTATAAATTTGGTGAAAAAGATACCAATGGGGGTACTAACTGATTTGAAAAACACCTTGCTGGTATTAAAAAGAATGTTGCTTCTTGTAAAAAAGTTCCTGAAGATATTAGGGATCATATTAGACAATCTTTGAATTTGGTAAAACCAAAAAAAGAAGAAAAAGAGCCTTGTTATATAGAAATATCTTCTCCACGTTCTTTTAAAGTGGCGATCAGGGATGGAACTTGGAAGTATGGTCATAACCCGAATCCGAATGACAAAAATTGTATAAGATGTAATTATTGTGAAAAGGATACTAATGGGCGTATTTACCAGTTCAAGAAACACCTTGCTGGTATTAAGGGGGGATTTTACCCCTTGTAAAAAGGTTTTTGAGGCCATCAGAGAGGAGATTAAGTAATATTTGAGTTCATTATAACACAAAAAGCAAGAAAATGGTGAAGAGGCACCAGGTAGAGCAGCCAAGACTCCTAAGACCTCATCTACATAGAGTAAGATGGGGTAGAAGAAGAGGAGGAAGAGACAGATTCAGAAGAAATTAGCGGAAGATGAGCATTGTGTTGAAAAGGGAAATGACAATGATGATGATGGATTCAACTCCGATGCATATGATGAAGCTTACCCCACTTTTACTGATGATGATTGAAGACTCTTGAGTCTTAGATTGTATTTTTTCTTTTTTCTTATTTTCTAGTTTCTACTCTTATGTGTATGCAGGTATGGTTGTATCATTGTATGGAACTATGGATTATGGAATGATATGACCTATGGAGCATAGAGTATAGTCTATGGAGTATGGATTATAGATTGTGTCTGTATTACTAATTTATATATTTAATTTTTGGTCGTGATAATAGTCTATGTATTACAAATTTACAATGATTTGGAACTTTGGATTATGGAATTTTTAATATTTTATGATGTATCCCCATATTCCCCTACCCCCACCCCTCTACTTCAACCTAGGTCCTAGGCCACCCAGAAATCTGGGCACCCACACCTAGGTGTTGGGTAGCCAGCATCCCCATGACCGCCTAGGTGCCGCCCGACGCTTTTTGGAACACTGAGTCAGAAACAAGTGGTGCATTGTTTCTCTGTCCCTTTTTATACATTAGGAAAATATTTTCTCTTTCTTTATTTAATGATTATTTATATTAGGCAAAATCTAGGGATGATCTTAACGGGTTATTGAATGGTCGACAGTGATAACTTTGTCCAGGCTGTTGACCACAAAATTTCAGCATACTTTATGATGCACTTAAGTATGATCAAAGCCTGCAGAACTCAATCTAGGAAGCCCATCTCGTCTACAACTAAAGATTGGGGTAAACATCGCTCTCATAGAAACTGAACATGTACAAAAATAAGTTCTTTAAGATGTATCTAACATGTTTAGAGGGTCCAATAGACTTAAGGAATAAGTATACCATGTGCATCACAATGGGATGAAGGCAAAAATTTTGTCTTCATCCACAAAATTTTGTCTTCATCCACAAAATTGAGAATATAGCATGGAACAATGTGTGGCTGAAAGTGTGATGCGTAGAAGCAAGCAAAGTGAGTATAATGGTGGGTGGTATCATTATAGTGAAGAATTTGGCCTTCTATCTTTTTCTTCTTCGGGATAGAATTATAGGTCTAACGGATTATGATAGGCATAAAATTGAACCATTATAATTCAATGACACCAATGTAATGGAATTCCCTCAAACGATAAAATCATGCTGTAAAACGATGTGTTTATGATTATAATGAATAATATGGGCCTTCAGCCTTGTCTTCGCCATGATATTTATTTACAGGTCTAACCAATTAGGACAGACATAAATAGAATACCAATAATTGAACCAGTAGCTCAAGATTGCCATGGATAATAATGGAATCAATGAAAAGTTTTTGTGCGTCTAAATAATTTTCTGTATCACAACCATTCCCTCACTTCAATAAAACTATGCTACAAAACAAAGCGGAAGTGTGATGCCTAGAGGCAGGCAACCTAACATCGAAGGAGGGCGGTATCATTATAATGAATAGTATGGGTTTTCTTTCTCAGATAGAAATTTATAGGTCTAACTAATCATGAAAGACATAAAAAGATTACCAACAATTGAACCAATATAATTCAAGATCGACTCAAATATAATGGAATTGATGAAAAGCTTATGTGCATCTAAATAAATCATTGTATCACCAACATTCATTCACTTTGCCAAAATCACACTATAAAACAATTTTTTTATCATTAAAAAAGGAAATCGGTGACATCTAGCTAAGAAAGCGAGGAGATTCTCCCTTTTGTTTCTATGACAAGCCAAAGAATCTGCCAATTCGTCCACTTATGTACTGACACATTCCTGTGTAGGTAGTAGGCCCTAGCAATCTTATGGAAATAAACTGAGATACTGAGTTCTTATCCCCCAACTAAGCCATTTCACCCATGACTTCTACATCCAACTTATCCTCATGAACAACAAATCTTCAAAATCCATTTTTGGATCTGTTTTTTTTTTAAGGGGAAGTTAGACTTTTATGTATTATGTATGTAATTTGTACAAGAAAACCAAATTAGGATTTAGGCTTACCCACAAATCGCGAGCCCTGCATCGAGAGTTAGTACACTAGCAGTTGGGCCACAAAGTTTTTTATTGGATATTCTTGGTCCTGTATTGACAAAGGAAAGCACTCCTCATCGTACTCCTAACCACCATATTTCCAAAGGATTCCCAGTTCCACAATTTTTAAATTCACTATGATTTCGAGGTTGTTTTTGCAGAAACGCATGTTGCCCTGCCCTTCTTGATCAATGTCCTTCCAATTAACAAGCCCCTGCATGAAGCCCGGTAGTTCCATCCACATCAATTCAGATCTGAATGAACTTGGTTGGTTCTCCACCAACCAAATTTATGTCAAGCAATACAAATCGCAAGCTCTGCATCAAGAGTTAGTTCACGAGAAGTTGGGCAACAAGGCTTTTTACTGGATATTCTCGGTCGTGTACTGACAAAGGAAAGCACTCCTCATCGCACTCCTGACCACCATATTCCCAAAGGATTCCCAGTTCCACAGTTTTTAAATTCACTACGCTTTCTAGGAGGTTTTTGCAGAAACGCATATTGCCCCACCCTTCTTGATCAACGTCCTTCCAACTAATAAGCCCCTGCATGAAGCCCGGTAGTTCCATCCACATCAATTCAGATCTGAATGAACTTGGTTGGTTCTCCACCAACCAAATTTATGTCAAGCAATATAGGGCATTGGTCAGAGGCTGGTTTGGTAGTGTCATATGATTAACCCCAAGGAATTGCCTTTCCCAATCTTTCAAAACAAGATAAAATCAATCCTAGTTAACATCAGATAGTAAATTTTGGTCTCCGAATAGTAAAATTTTGACGTATGTGTGGTAATGCAAGCTCAGCTTTTCCACTCAAACAAGAAATAAACCATGCCAAAATCACCACCTACAAACAACGCAATTCCGTCTTGTTCCAACAGTACCAAGTTCACTCCACAACCCTTCTCCACTTGGATCATTTGGACCACAAACTGCTGATTACACCCATTCAAAACAACAATCTGGAAACCGAGTAGAGCTTTTCTCATTCCAAACAATAATTATCCTACCAAAAGCCCCAACTGGATATGAATGTGTGAAATGGCTTCATTAGTCATGCATGATCTCAGGTTCAGACTTTTTTATTGCTTTAGTATTGGCATTTAATTGTCAGAAGATTCATTAATGACAGGATCATTGTGTGTGTCATAACAATTTAAATTACGGATCCATAATTCCAAATCATGGTTCTTAAGAAGACAAGATGAGAGTTGTGAATCATAAAAGAACTTGATTTCTGAATAGGAACTCTTTGGAACATTGAAATCAAAGTCCTAGGCTACATAAGTATTAACATAAATTCAGCAAGTAGGTACCATAATGAAGCACTAAATTTATCATGACATAAGCAAAGAACGAGGCATTTTTAACATTAAAAAACCAAGGAAATCGGAAACTATGGGGCATTACACACACATTAGCAGATAATAAAGATAACCATGATAGGCAACCAACCTTAGCCCTCAAATGACCAACTTGACTGCTGAACTCTGGGAAAACATGTTGCACCAGCATGTTTTCAAGCTGTGACTTGTAAGGTTCTGTTTGCTTCAATTTATCACATAGAGCCCCAATAGCAAGAAGAGCCCCATCTTTCTGACGATAAGGTTTGTATCCCACGGCTGCCTCATCATATCTGGCTCATGGAAAATGATCATGAAAATTCAATACTTATTACCAATTAGAGATTAACTTATTACCAATTAGAGATTAACTAATTTACCTCCTGAAAACATCCACTATAAAAAGAAGAAACCTCTGAAGGGTTTCCTTTCCACGTTTCCTCACCAATTCACTCACAAAATCCATTGATGCAGTGCGAGGACTATATAAATCTTCAATTATATCTGCACCAAAGCAAAACGGATCATACCATTGTGCTAAAAAAGGAGGTTCAAAGCAAAAGGAGAGACCCGTTCAGCACAAATATATCACAGTGTCGTAATCAACAAAATAATGAAAGTTGTTATTATAAAACTCACCATAACCTTTTCTAATGTACTCATGAGGGTCTTCGTGCCACAACTTATCATCATCGTCATTGAAGCACATCAATGGAAAAATTATCTCAAAAAGGACAATGTCCAATCGAGGCTGAAGCAACTGGTATGTATTATTCTTGGAGATGCTGCAATCAATATCATAGAAAAAATAAATTGCCAAGAACAACATGATAATCCAATTTATTCTTACAGATCTAACAAGAATGCCGACACAGCTCCCATGTCAGTTGCAGTACATGAAACCACTCAAATAGAATTCCTTTTGTATGTAATTTAAGAAATTGATAAAAAAAAAAATTCTAAAACCAGCATGAAGACTTAATATATACCATAAACTGACGTAGAATTATCCCTAATCACATTTGTTCACCTACCATATAATTTGTTGGTTCTTTGGGGGTTCTCCTAGCGGTAATTTTTCACCGCGGTGGGTAGAATCTCACTGCGGTGACTAATCACCGTGTTCGATACAATCACCCATTTAACTGGAACCCACAGAGTCGAAGGTATTCATAAAAGATCAAGGGCTCTCGAACTCAGTGAAGAAGTCAATGGACCTAATAGTTAACCACGACAAAAAGCTTACCAGCTCGAACCACGTTCAAATTGCGGATTGCGCTCAAAGAGAAGAAAGAGAGGTAAGAGAAAGAAAGCATAAAACCATCATATTGTAACCCACCGCTCAATGCCTTTAGATTCAATATATATACATATATATAGAGAGAGACGGAGAGAGAAAGAGAGAGAGGGGGGAGAGAGAGAGAGAAAGAGAGAGGGAAAGAGAGAGAGAGAGAGAGAGAGAGAGAGAAGAGAGAGAGAGTCGTGGTGATGTTGGATAAAGGCATAAGGAATATAAAGGAGGAAACCACATAGTACAAAAAGTGGCACAAAATGTTAAAAGGAAATGAGGTTATTTATGAAATAAAATATTTTATACTTAAAAGGACTATGTGGCCCAGAAAAGTAAAAGATGACAGGGGAGGCATGCCAATGTGAAAGAAAAGAACGAGTACTAGAGAGAGAGAGAGAGAGAGAAGGTGATGGTCCATAAGGACCACAATGTAAAAATGGACTAGCAAATATTTCAAAATAAGGTTGCTCTGAACATACAGATAAAGCTAAAGTAACCAACTATAATTTCCATTTTAAAAAAAGGCGTTAGATAAATGAGATAAATAAACACTCACGCAAATCTTTCGATAGAAAGCTAGGAAGTTACTCTAGAATATGATAGATGCCATGGATGTCATTAGCAAAGATACAATGGAGGTCTTTATGAATTTCACAAACCAAGTAAAGCTTCACGGCACTTTTTAACTTTGACCATTATGATTCCAAATGTTGAAGGGAAGATGAAAGGATTACAGACAGTAAGCTCAAAGGTGATTATCTCAAACTTTATTTCGTATGAGTTCAATTTAAAAGGCTGAGGGACAAATGCACCTAATTATTTCTGCAAGACAAGGAAGTCTATTGAATAGAAGAAAATTTTTTATAGAAAAATGGCCAACCATGAAATTGTCAAAGAAACAGGATTTGGTACAGTATGGATTACATGGATTATTTCTTGCATTTCCATTATTAACTTTTCATTAATTCTTCATGGAACCCCTAACCTTGAACGTTTTTCAAGACAGAAAAGGCTAGAGACTGGGAGACCCCTATCCCTTGTACTATACTGGAATCCCTGAGTATTTCGTTTGCAGTACGTGGAGACCATTCTTTTCAGTGGAAACTTGGTAGAAGCAGTGATCAGATGCATGCTAAAATTCTTTTGAGTGAATGTTAGAACAAAAGCTTAATCTGAAAAGACCAAGGTTACAAGAGAATGGGATACTAAAGAGAGCATCCCAAGGGCTATATGAACAAAACTTTGTGCAGGTGATATGAAGAAGTGGCAATAGATATCATTCTAAATAATGACATTAAGAGGGTTTGTTAGCAGGATAAGAGAAGAAGATTCTCTAGTGGTGGGCTGCTGACTGGGGCAGTCACCCTGCTCAAAATGTCATCAGCCAACTTATGGATCTTCAGTTTATGGAAAGAAGAGATCACTAGCAAGAAACTGGACGAGGGGTGAGATATGCAGAATGGCAATGGAAGAGAAATAGCAACATATCTGGAGTCGGAAAAAAATTGGTAAATTACTAAAAGAATTAAAAAAATAAATTTAATTCATAGTGGAAGACACCAACAAGAGTAGATTTACAAAACATAGGTGGAGATAACCCTTAACAGATCCATTGACAACCACCCACAAAAGAAATCAGAAGATGAAGGCATAGATGAATCTGTAAGCCTTAACTTTTTAGATGCAATTGACACTAGGAATTTTTAAGCCTTATCAAGTTAGTCAAGATCTTTTAAGCCTTATCAAGTTAGTCAAGATCTCTATCTGCATGGCAAAGGGAAAGAGAATAAAGAAAATCGAAAAACAAGGTTTTGGGACTATATTTTCCCTTTCAAGTCCATGCACCCACTGCGTAGCATAAATGGAGACAGTTTCAACGTTAATTTAGTTCCCCAAAAAGATACCCCCAGTAGAAGTTTTTTTCCTATTAGCCAGAGTTAAAAGATAAAATCATTTTTCTACCATCTGCAAAATAAAGGCTTTCTCTAGCCAACAAGTGTGCACCTTGTAGAAAAAAGGAGAAATCTGTTCATCCCACCCTAGGTAATTGAATTTAGGTGGAAATTATGGAACGTTCCCTCTTGCACGGATCATCCCCAAGTCCACTCCCATGGTTTTATACGTATGGAAAAAATCAAATTGAACCAGAAGGAACAAGCTAATTGTAAGACAAACTAGGGGTACAAGTACGAAGGATTTAGAAAGAATAAGATCTATCTAGAACAATGCTAATATAAAAGCATAATGAAGTACAAAACCGATACTTCCAAGGATTCTCACTTCCACAACAGCAAAACAGCCGCAAACAAGGTTTGAGTTTCATTATAAAAGGATCCATGTAGAACACAAGAAGGAAAATGGAGCCATCTGTTGAATTGTAGAGAGAAAAAAGGACAAAAAAACGCAAGTGACTTCCAACAACCGCAATTGCTTCTCATGTACCACCCCACACTATTTATGTTACCAACTAACAACTCAAAGCATAACAGAAACTTGCCACAAATTCCATTTACCAAATGATGTAGGAGCTAAATGAACAATCTTGGGTTTTCATTTGGATTTTAATCTTGGGGGTTAAAGATTGAAAGTTTGGGAGGCTTATTTTCAGGTTTTTGTATGGGGATTTTAGGGGCAGTTAGAAAATATAGTTACGGTCATTATTTAAGGAGAATCTTTTTAATTAAATTCTAGGTTACCATCAAATAGAAGAATAAATAGGAGTCCTAGTTATGTGGATTTCTGGTGACAGGTGCGTATGAGACTTGGAAGAGATGGCAGTTAGGTGGAATCCTAGAGAGTAGGTATTAGAGATGGAGATCCTAAAAAGTAGGTATTGAAGAAAGTACAAGATGTGCTCCTTTGAAGGACAGGTACATAGCATAGTTCTCTCTCTTGTTTCAAAGGTTCTATTGGATCCTTTTTCTATTGTTTTTGCTGTTTGTGTGGTTGAATTCTCCTCTTGAAAGCCTTAGATGACCTAGCCAAAGATAAAGCTTCCCTCTCTTGTTTCAAAGGTTCTATTGGATTCTTTTTCTTTTGTTTTTGCTGTTTGTGTGGTTGAATTCTCCTCCTGAAAGCCTTAGATGACCTAGCCAAAGATAAAGCTCCTGGCCCAGATGGGTTCCCCATTGCCTCCTTCAAAATCTTTTGGGAAACCTTTTGCCCAGACTTCATGAGTTTCTTCACATAATTTTTCCACCAGGGAATACTCCATAAAGCCATTAATGCTACTTTTATTGCCTTGGTTCCTAAGGTTGAAGGGGTAAAGAAGAGCTAAAGGAATTTCGCCCAATCAGTTTGCTCAACTCCTCCTATAAAATCCTGACCAAGGTGCTAGCCGCTAGATTACAACAGGTCCTTTCCTCTAATATCTTGTCTTCACAGTCGACCTTCATTAAAGATAGGCAAATCCTGGACGGAGCTCTAGTTGCCCACAAGTGTATCCACTCAAGCAATTTGGTTAAAAAGCGTGGTCTCATCTTTAAGATCGACTGGGAGAAAGTGTATGACCATGTTGATTGGTCCATACTGGATGAGACAATGACAAGAATGGGATTCCGTGATCGCTGGAGAAACTGGATGAGAGGTTGTTACTCTCATCCGCATTTCTCAATACTCCTAAATGGAACCCCAAATGGATTCTTCCCTTCCTCGAGGGGATTACGCCAAGCGGATCCTCTCTCCCCTTTCCTTTTCGCAATCTCAGCAGAAGTCTTTAGCCAATCCTTATCCCGTGTATAGCTGGCAGGTCTCCTCACAGGTTTTAAAACTTCTCACCGTGGCCCTATAGTGTTGCACCTGCAATACGCAGGCGACACTTTGGTATTCCTAGATGCATCTCCTCAAGAAATTGATAACTTGAGGCTCTATCTGAAATGTTTCCAAGGGGCTTCAAGGTCAATATGGAAAATGAATAATGATGGGTGTAGTTGTCGCCAATGCCCAAATCAGAGAGCTTATCCCAAATTGGGATTGCAAAGTCGAGGACCTTCCCACAAACTATCTGGGTCTACCTTTGGGGCTGGGAATACCGATAAAGAGACATTGGTCTCACTTGATAGACAAGGTTGATAGGCGTTTGGCTGGGTGGAAAGGGAGATATCTTTCTCAAGCAGGTAGAATCACTCTGATCAAAGCAACCTTGGCCAATGCCCTATGTACCTTATGTCTCTTTTCCAAATGCCAACTTTAGTGGCAAATCGGCTTGACCAACTTATGAGGAACTTTCTTCGGTCAAGATAGGCAGATAAAACAAAATATCATTTAATCTCTTGGGATAAGGTCTCCTTACCCAAACATCAGGGGGGGCTGGGGATCAGGCCCCTAAGAAAACACAACTTGGCTCTTTTAGGGAAATGGTGGTAGTGCCTGGCCACTCAGGCGGATTCCCTCTAGGCTTAGGTTTACTATGCAGTAAATACAAGATTCCAGAATGCACTTGGGTGCCAGAGAGGAGACCTTGGAGCAGTGCATCAGGAGCATGGAAGTCGTTCA